ATTTGTATAATAAATATTAATATAAAATAATTAATATAAAATAGTTAAATTAATTTACGCAGTACAACTTTTAAATGTGCTTTTTAGGCCAGCTTCTTTAGCCTGGGATGAGCGCAAGATCTCTCCAGGTCGACCCATTATGCAACAGGTTTTAGCCGCATCTGCGTTGGCATCTGGACCAGCTACGTCTGAAAAGTTTGACTTTCTATCTATTAAGGATGGTGAACTTTATAAACTTATAAGCAAGTTGCCTCCGAAAAACTCTCTTAGTAATCCTGTGACTAAGCGAAATAAGCCATCAAAGTGTCAATTACAAGGCAGAATGTCAAAGGATAAATTACACGTAATTACAGGGGGTGCTTCTAATTCCCCCGAGACTCTTATCAGGTCGGTCGATGTTTCAGTTCCTGAAAAAAGCATACAGCTACTATCATATAAAAATGAATCAAGTGGAAAAGTTTGCAATCCTGATGAGGCTCTGGATAATGATGGTGGCGAGCCTTGGCGTTTGGTGGTTCACTCCAAGTCCCGTCATGCAAAAAAAATGAAGGCAATTAAGCAACTTATTTCATCTAATGGTAATTCGAATGAGAATGCTAATTCCTTAAATTGTGCTGATCATATGCAATCGCTTGAAGCGATGAAGTTGGGCGTCATTCATGCGCCTGTCGACCATTCATTGAAGGCCTCCATAGCTACTCCTATAAATGGCTTTCGCTCGTCACTTTATGTAGATGAGTGTTTAAACAATCAAGTTGAAAAACATTTTATTTCTCAAGACGAAATCATTCCTAAGCAAGACTACAAGATTGGAGAATGTCAAGGGCTTCTGGACGCCTTAGAGCGAAGGACCAGTGATGAAATTCATTTGGAGGCTTGTCAACTACTAGAGGATGACGACAGCATTGAGTCACTGCCACTCGAACCCGGTTCGAATGAGGCTGATGAGGATGAAATAGCCATGGCTTCCACATCGGGTTGGTCAGACTTGGACTATGCTGATGACCTCAGCTGTCAGGGTTCTCGTGTCCCCATACCATCTTCTGGTGCAGCAGATGATCCGAATGATGCAGACGATGAGGGAAGAAACGAATGCAGTGCTGTGGTTGGCCCGGATGATGAAGATGATGATGATGCGGCTTGGTCCCAAAATCTAAAGCAACTTGACGAAGTTAGCTAATTTATTGTTGAATAACTTTCCATATTTTTGGTTTCAGTAATAAGTACTAACTAAAATGGCCTTTGACACCGAGGTGTTTAGCATAAAATATGTTTCTTAATTGCCACCTAAACTATTATGACTTATCAGCTTGCATTTTAAAGCATCCACTTTACTATGGGCAACCTTAATCAATACAGATTCCGCACACAATAATAAGATTTTTGAGATTCCCCTTATGTAAACCTTTTTAAGATGTGTGATTTACTTCCAGCC